AGTATATATGTCTTTTCGATGTTACAGCTAAGTTATAACTAATTCGAAAAAAAGAATGTGATGATTTTTTGGAGAATAAACTTTATAGGTTCTTCTTAGTTATAACTTCGAAAAAACATATGTACTGTGTTCTGAAGCTATGGGTGGAATTTTGATTAAATGGCCGGATCAGTAAGCTTCAGAAGAAAAAAAAATTCGCAGATCAAGCCCTTCCCAATCTAATCAAATATTACTACAGGTAGGAAAAAAGGCTACATTTGTTATGCCTAGACTCAAAAATCTGCCCGCAAATCTTTATATCTAGTTGCGCTGTCTGGCTTAGAAGTAGGGCGCAACAAATTTTCGACAACTAGTTTAAGTTTTTCACCATTTAGGATAATTTGGCTGAATATCAACAGGAACTCGAATAGCAAAATTGTCAAAAACGATAGATTCCGGGCTTTTCTTCAAAATGACTGGGAGAGTTGCACTGGCGCGATTTCAGCTAACCTCGAAAAGATCGACCTATCGCTAGAGCGTAACTGGCGAGAAAAGCTGAGCATAGTTACTACGAAAAGGCAATCGCTAGATGAGACCTAAGTCCGAAGAACCTAATGTTTATTATCCGACACATCCAATACTTTGGGCTAAAAACCTATGCTCTTTTTTAAGTCTCTGTAGGACCAAAAAAGCATTGTGCAGTTATTCAGAAACCAAGTTCCAAAGTTCTTCTTCATTCTTCAAAGACTGAATTCAATTTTTTCTGAGCGTTACTGGAGTATCAGTATTAGATGTAACCAAACCACTCACCTGAACTCTTCCTGCATTGCCACCAGTCAAAAGTTCATGATTCTCATATATGGAACGTGGCCAACGACTCAGTCCTTCATGAGATTGAGAGGAACCGGAGAGCAATGGCATGGGATCCGTAGGAATGAGATGTTGCTGAGAGCGATACTGCGGAAGTGCCTGGGTAATCAGCTGAGCACTGAGTGGCAACTGAAACAAGACTCCCTTAACGGAATATAAAGGTGAAAAGGCTGCTGATCGATTTTTTGTTTGTTTTAAGCAAAAGACATTTTCAAAAAAATATATAATTATGACACCAAAACGGACCATTTGCCGCATACGATTCCTCATTTGTGTGCTGTTATTGCGAGTAGCTTCCATAGAGAAGTTGGG